AGAGGTCGAACAAGAAACACTCACAACCCTTGGGGAGCCATTGGCGACCTGCAAATAATTGTTTTTGGAAAATATTAGTGCCTCAGTCAACAGCGTGGAGATTTGGACCAAAATTGGAATCATCCAATCGTTAGCTGTTCATCAGTTTCTCAAGTCGCTCAATTTACAGTCAAATGAAACGATGCTGCACAGTTTACATCTCATAACTCTGTGAATTTCGGCACATTTGCAGGAAAGATGATGCAACAGAACAGAAGCAACTTCCTCTGTGCTGTATTTCTCCATCCCGCCAAAATAAAAAAGAGAAAAGAACATCTTAAAAAGTTGCCTCAGAAGATATGAAAGGCATCAATCAGGCATTTACATCTGTCAGATTTCACACACACAGAGCACCAGAGGGCTTGACAGTCCTCTGAGGCTAACCATCCATGTAGCCTGCTAGCATCTGCGCTCTACTTCTCCTGCTCCTACAGCATGAAATAATGAGCTGGGATGAAGATGGGTGCTACTTGAGAGCAGGTTGGGATATTACCCTAAATGTGTAACCAACCTTACCCAGCCTTGAGCTTGACAAGCCACATTAGGTATTCAAGAAGTCAACCTCTTCTTATTCTGTCCAATAGAACGCTCTTAATGCGTCGTGTCCGCTAAAAGCCGTCTTCAATCTCTCTCAACCTGTCTCTGTCTGTCTCTCTCGTTCTCACTGCCATGCTCTTCGGATTCTCCCACAAAGTAGCTGCATCCCTAAGTGCCACCTTAAATCTGAGCCGCGATAAGTTGTTCTCTGCATCTTGTAGTACCTCCCAGACTGTGGCCGGGAATGATCTTTCTTTGCGGGATCGTTGCCAGGTCATCATCCGTTGTATCTTGTAAAGGTCTAAAAGGTCCGGTGATATTTGGAGGTCACCCGCAGATTGATGGCGCCTCAGCCATCACGTGATATTCTGAAGCACAAAACATTTTACAAACTGGCGTGTATCATAAATAGTACCAGAAGCATTAGATTAACAGCAAGGTTTAAATTAATCCAGAGATCCACACCCTGTTGTTGTTCGGTTGTTAATAAATTAAAATTGGGAAAAAAAAATGAACACTTTTGTAGAAAATGTGTATTGTGCCATAAATCAGCTTTCTGAGAGACAATGGACCAAAAGCTTTGAGGTGCCCTATTCATATTTTATAACAGTATCTCTTTTTAGTATGACATTTGTTATTAAAATACACAAATTATTTCTAACATAGACATTCATGATTTACAAAATAAATGTGTAATTCACTTCAATAACATACTTCATGTATATTCATGAATAAATAATACACTACTGCTGTTAACTTCATAGAACAGCAAACCAATCTCAGACATGTAACCAAAACACTGCTCGCCACACATTCTCTCCTCTTCGGTTCACGCCGCCGATCC